GACTACAGGCATGCGCCACCATGCCCGGCTAATTTTTTCTATATATATATTTTTAGTTGTCCAGATCATTTCTTTCTATTTTTTGGTAGAGATGGGGTCTTGCTCTTGCTCAGGCTGGTCTCAAACTCCTGACCTTGAGCGATCCACCTGCCTCGGCCTCCCAGAGTGCTAGGATTACAGGCGTGAGCCACCGCACCCGGCCACATTTTGCAGTTTTTGAGAAAGGATTTCATGTATCCCGAATTTTTCAGCTACATATTTATTCCCATTCATGTTTTAATTCACATAACAGTTTTAATTTGTGTTAAACACCATGTGAATTGCTTAGGTTAATGGATCAGCAACATTTTATTTTTTTGTAAAAAATGTCTAAGTTTTTGAGAAAATGAAGGTTCTTTTGGAAAGTGCTGGATTTACTTTCTTAGAGAGTCATGTTGTATTATATTTATGATAAGTCAAATCTTCCTTGAAAGTCTCCTCTCTCTCAGTTCTGGGATCTAAAGTCATCTGGAGAGGGTATAAAAGATACAAAACTATTCGTAGGGAAGAATCTTAACTATAAAAGCAAAATATATTGTGTAACCACAAAATAATGAGACTTCTTTTTCAAGTCCACACTTGCAAACAAGTCTCATAACATGACACTTTCTACATCACTGGTCTCCGACCTTTTTGGCACCAGGGATTGGTTTTATGGAAGACAATTTTTCCACAGATGGAGGAGGTGGGGAGTAGGAGCTCAGACAACAACGTGAGCGATGGGGAGCGGCTATAAATACAGATGAAGCTTTGCTGGCTCGCCAGCCGCCAGCCACTCCTCGCTTGCCAGCCCGGAGGTTGGGACCGCAGTTGTACATAATGTATTTCCTTCTCATACTTGAGCCACCTCTCTTCTCACTCTTCCCCTTACTTCCCCAGCTCCAGGCACATAGGCTTCCTTCTTGTTCCAGGATGTTTCAGAGCCTTTGCACTTATGTCCATGCTTTAGGTCTTAGGTAAAACGTCACCTCCTCAGAGAGGCCTTCTCTGACCATGTCCTCTATCTCAGCAACCTATTTCTTTCTTTCAGGCACACATCACTCTCTGAATTATCTCATTAATTCATTTATTTGTGTATTGTCTGCCTCATCCACTAGAAGGCAAGGCCAATATGGTAAGGGCCCTTATTCTCAACCCTTGGTCAGGGCACTGAGCCCCACTGGCATTTGTGGTTTTGGCTATGAGTTTGGAATTTTTCCTTCTACTGAAAATCTGAAGTAGCAGAGCTAACATTCTACTTTTAATTTACCTTTACAACAAGTAAAGAATTCCCAAATAGGACTTTTTTCTTGTAAGACTTATAGCTTAAGCGGAATCAAGTAATTAAAACTTAATTGTAGTTTTTAAAGATTACTTGGTTTAATTTTGTGAATTTAATGCACAATACTATTTCTCAAAGATCAAAATTTTGATATAATCTAAATTTATTTTATTTTGCCTTGTATTATTTTTTTACAAATATTTATTGGCATAAAAAGGATATAATGCTCTTCTCATAAAAAGATTTTCTGACTAATGCACTTCATATTAGTATTTATATTAACAATCAATCAATTTCCCTTTTTAAGAACTTGAATTTTTTCCCTTCCTTAGTCTCTTTTAATCTAAAAGAGTTCCCATTCCCTCCCTTTTATCACATGACATTTAATTTTCGAAAGAAACCAAGTCATTTGTCCTATAGAATTTCCCACATTCTAAATTTGGTCAATTGTATCCTCTTCGTGTTGTTTAACAGATTCCTCTACCCCCCATATCAATAACTGGTAGTTAGACTTTTAACATACAGTTAACTACATAACCGGTAGTTAGATTTTTAACATAACATACATAACATACACACACACACACATATATATATATATATATACACACACACACTCTTTTTTGCCTAGGATACTTCATAGGTAGTGCTATATATTTCTATTGTATTATGCCAGAAGGAATATATTTGGTTGTCTTTTAGTGATGTTAAAATTGATTGGTGGGTTTAAGTGTTGTCAGCCTGATCCATTCATTATAAAATTCCCCATCATCCTTTCAATCAATGATTTAGCAACTATAATAATAATTGCCTGGATTCATTGTTTTATGAGTTATAAATGGTGATTTCCTAATTCTATCGTATCTCCTGTATTTGTTAGCTGTGATTTTTCTAAAAAGAAATTTTTCAAGACTATACTTTCAAGGATCATTTCTATAGTTCGTTACTGGAGAAGTTTCTCTGAAAATGTAGAGCCCCGGAAATGAAAATCTTATATTAAAAAAAATTTTTTTCCCTCATCAACTCTGGTTATCCTGAACGTAGATTGTGTAGGAAATGGAGCACAAATGCTTTATTTTTCCTTTTATTAATTTTAGAATAATAAATGGTACCTAGCAACCTCCAAAATTATTATTTTTAATGAAGTCCTAGATTTTTGTATGTTTGATATATCTTAATTTCAAAAGAAAGCTGAGCTCTATTTTCCTTCAAACACTGAGTATCTGATTCCTGTCATACCTCAAGTATCTAGGTATCCCTAGATGGTTTAGTTACATAACTCAGCTTACTGTGCTTAAACCAATTTGAATTGTATTGCAGCCTAAATTCCTAACACAGATCTGTCCATTCTTCTACCTCTGTCCTGCACTGAAACTTTGGATTTTATAAAAACAGAAAAGAAGATTTCTTTAAAATCACACTGGCAGTTATGAGGCTCATCTCTGCCATTCCTTTATGCTTTGAATCTTAGCAACTCTCTTAAATAAAAGAAGATGCAAAAATAACTTTTTTCCATCAAAGGAGAAAGCATTTTAACAAGGAATTTGAATTTCAGGCCCAGAAGTTTTCTCTACAGCAGGTCCTCGAATAATGGTGTTTCATTATAACATTGATGAGAAAAAAAAAAATGGCTTCCCTGCCCGGGGCTACTGTTTTGTGTGGAGTTTGCACATTTTCTCCTTGTCTGCATGTTTTTTTTCTCTAGGTACTCGAGTTTCCTCCCACATCCTAAAGATGTGCACATCTTGGGTGCGTGTGAGTGTGCCCTGCCATGGGATGCCCTCATGTTCAGGCCTGGTTCCTGCCTTGTGCCCTGAGCTGCCAGGACAGGCTCCAGCCACCCATCATCCTGAACTGAAACAACTGGGTAATTATTTTGTTTTTATCTACTCTTTCTTAAACGTATATCTCACATTTATTTCAATATTTAATATTGGAAGTGTTTTGGTCTTTATTTAGAAGTTTGGTGATGTTTTTGTGACCAGAAATATGCTCTAGGAACTTAATTCTTGTTTATATCAATTAGCCTATGGTAAAATTGGTTTCTTTATACATTATTTTGATTAAAGTTGCAGATTCCAAGCACCTATGCACAATGTTAAGTGAGGACTTACTGTACTTAGCTTAAATACCAACAGCTTGGAGCAAGTGCTTTTACTAGTGGGAAGTAACGTTTTGGTGCAGGGCACCTGGAGACATGCACTATCCCTTCCTGGGTGTGCACCCCCAACTCCTGTGAAAGTAGAGCTGGATGATCAAAAGAGTGTGTGAGTAGGAGAGTAGACAGAAATTTAAGTTTGATTTGAACATAGAGGATACGGACGGACAGGTGTGAAAAAAAAAGAGGTCTAGTTCTTTGCATATTTATTACTGTGCTGCCTAACTTAGAGTTGAGGTGAGGAATATTTGAGTAAGTTTAAAAAATAACCACTGGTGTTTTAAACAGCAGTGGCTTAAATATAAATAGTAAAAACAAAACAAGACAGTAATATTAAATAATAATGGCAAAGTCACTCCACGTACTGAAAAAGGCAATGAATTGGGAGAGTCAGAAAACTTTAGCTCCATCCATTTAACGCACAAAACTTTAAAGACTTCTTGTGTGCTAGCACGCTGGCGATTCCAAGGTGAATATCAAACACTTGCCTCAGGAAAGGACCTCAGTCTTGTCCTGAATCTTTTCACTTGGCAAGTGGAAGCTCACTTGGCTTTGTCTGAAGTAGGGTGAACTAGAAACTTATAAACAGATTGAAACACATCAAATATGTAAATTTCTAGTACTTCATTAAAAAATAGTAATTGACTACTTTTGGAGATTACTAGGCACCACTATTATCTAAAAATTGATAAAGGGGAAAAATAAAGCATTTATCCTGCCTTTCCTGCACAATTCGTACATCAGGGCAACCAAATAATTAATGAGGAAAACAATACAAATAGAAAATACATAAATTAAGTTAGTTAATGACCTAAAAACTTCTGATAAACATATTTGTTTTGCCTACCTCGGCGGACATTCGATGACGGAGTGTCAAAGGGATTAAAGGGAAAGGAAGCGCTCGGTGGACTGTAAAAACACTCTTTGGGTCTAAGTCCACTTTCTGACTTCAGAACGCAGGACTGAGAGCCCGGGCTGCTGGGGCGAGCAGCAGCTGACAGCTCTTTCCAGGTGCACCGCAGGTGACGTATCCAAGTCTCTCTTCCTGCCAATGCTGCTGGGCAGGCTCGGCCTGAGGTCTGTCAGCCACACGGCTGCCTTTATAGTCTTGGAAGGAACAACCCCACTTCCCTCTACGCTCAGCAAACGAAGAGGGGAAACGCAAGAGGCGGAAGGCCACGCCAGCGGCGGCCGGAAACCCAAAGCCAGCTGGCGCACGCTGCCGACCACTTCCGGCCGCAGGAGCCAGGAGGGGCGCCGCACGCCGCGCGCGGGTCCGACGTGCGGTGCGCAGCTGCCCCCTGCTGGCGGAGCGCAGCCAGCCCGCGGAGCTGTACTCCCTCCCAGAGGGCAACCCGAGTACGCGTTTCCGGCCCCGCGGCGTCCTCTTCAGCAACCATTACGAGGCCAGGCTTCTGTTACGAATTTTATTATTATTATCTTCTAACTCACATTTCCCCTGGCCCTCAAAGCGACCTTTTGTTTGAAGGAAAGGGGGAGTTAGAAAAGGAGGGTAAAGAAGACTCCTAATGCGAGGCAAAGATGGAGGAAGGCGCCCAGACCCCAGACTGGGACAGTGATGAGACCGTGATAGAGGGGTCGGTAACAGAGAACGAGCTGGAAGAAGAGGAGCTGCCCTGGAGAAGGTGACCACCATTAGGGCCAGAGCGCCTGCACCCTCGAGCCAGGCCTGCACACCAGTGGCCCAGGTGCCGTCTGAGGCCGTCAGAGTTTTGGGTGGAAATTGTACCATCAGAATGTAGGCTTGTGAGCAGCAGTGCCTGGGCCAAGAGATTGTAAATAAGCAACCACCGTCTGTCCCCACTTACCCCCACCCTAGCTAGGGACAAAATGCGGTTTATAGTAAGTGGCTTTATAGCATTTTTAGAAAGCCTTTTCTCTGGCGTTTTAACTGCTTTTGCATAGGCAAAAACGCCTTGGGTCTGAACTCAAGTGCATTTTGTTTGAAGCAACTTATAGCTCTGCTCTAGGATGTGGTTAACAATTTCAGGGAAAGAATGTGCATTGGGGAAATTGGTTCCTACCAGACTGGGAGTGGATAGTTTTGTAAGAATCCAAAAAAGTGAGTATTTCAGTCTATCAAAACCTTTCTTGAGCATGTTCTGTGTTCTAGAGGCAGGAATGAGGCTACTGCCTTTGAGAAATCTTCAGGAAAAACACTTAAACAGATAATTGTGATATAATGTGGGAAATCTAGGGATGGAGGTTATGTCCAGGGTAGTTTAGAAGTGGAGATGGACTCTTACTTCAACCTAGGTGGCCATCAGAGTTGGCAAGGGTAGACTCCTGAATAGAGGCTTGAACATGGGTTAGGATTTAGTCAGATGAAGAAGAGGAGGTATTTTAGGCCAAGGGAACCGCATAGGTGAAGGTGTAGAGGTGGGACATAGCATTGTGTTAAGCCTGTTGGAATGTATTAGGTTGGTACAAAAGTAATTGCAGTTTTGGACCGTGAATTTTAAATCATTATAACTAGGCTCAAATACATCTTTATTAATCAAAATAGGAGCCATTACAATCAACACATTTTTGCCAACGAGAAGTAAGTTTGTTTATTCCCGTAGCGTGAAAATCCATGCGTCGGCATTCCCTGAACTCTTGGAAAACATTTTCTGTGTCCTGCTGGTTTTCCCTGCAAAAAAGTTGTGGAGATGCTTGAAGAAGTGGTAGTTGGTTGGCGAGAGGTCAGGTGAATATGGCAGATGAGACAAAACTTCATAGCCCAATTTGTTCAAGTTTTGAAGTGTTGGTTGTGCGATGTGCAGTGGGGTGTTGTGGAGAATTGGGCCCTTTCTGTTGACCAATGCTGGCTGCAGGTGTTGCAGTTTTTGGTGCATCTCATCAATTTGCTGAGCATACTTCTCAGATGTAATGTTTTTTCTGGGATTCAGAAAGCTGTAGCGGATCAGACCGGCAGCAGAGCACCAAACAATGACCATGACCATTTTTGGTGCAAGTTTGGCTTTGGGAAGTGCTTTGGAGCTTCTTCTCGGTCCAGCCACTGAGGTGGTTGTTGCCAGTTGTCATATAAAATCCACTTTTAGTTGCATGCCACAATCCGATTGTTGTCAGTTGTCTTATAAAAATCCACTTTTAGTTGCATGCTACAATCCGATTGAGAAATGGTTCACTGTTGTTGTGTACAATAAGAGAAGAGGACACTTCAAAACGACGATTTTTTTGATTTTCGGTCCGCTCATGAGGCACCCACTTATTGAGCTTTCTCACCTTTGCAATTTGCTTCAAATGCTGAAAGACCATAGAATGGTTGACGTTGAGTTCTTCGGCAACTTCTGGTGTAGTTGTAAGAGGATCAGCTTCAATGATTGCTCTCAATTGATCGCTGTCAACTTCCAATGGCCGGCTACTGAGCTCCCCATCTTCAAGGCTCTCGTCTCCATTGCGAAACTTCTTGAACCACCACTGCACTGTACGTTCATTAGCAGTTCCTGGGACAAATGTATTGTTGATGTTGTGAGTTGTCTCTGCTGCTTTATGACCCATTTTTGAACTCAAATAAGAAAATCGCTCGAGGCTGGGTATAGTGGCTCACGCCTATAATCGTAGCACTGTGGAAGGCCGAGGCAGGAGGATCCCTTGAGCTTAGGAGTTGGAGACCAGCCTGAGCAAGAGAGAGACCCCATCTCTACTAAAAATAGAAAAAATTAGCCAGGCGTGGTGGCACGCACCTGTAGTCCCAGCTAACTTGGGAAGCTGAGGCAGGAGGATTGCTTGAGTCCAGGAGTTTGAGGTTGCTATATGCTAGGCTGATGTCACAGCACTCTAGTCTAGGCGACAGAGCAAGACTCTGTCTCAAAAAAAAAAAAAAGAATTGCTCAAATTTGCTTTTTGTCTAACATAATTTCCATAGTCTAAAATAAATATAAAATAAACAGCACATAATAAGTCATTAGCAAAAAAAAATAAAGCGAGAAATGCGCATTAAAATTATGTATAACATAACCACATTTATTTAAGAATGTATTCTGATATCAAATGGCAAATTTCAACAATACTGAAACTGCAATTACTTTTGCTCCAACCTAATACAAACAGTTAACTCCTAATGAAATGTGAAATGTGAGGTGGGGAGTGGTGAAAGATGAGCCTGGGGAGGAAGGTAGGGTGAGGTCATGTAAGATCTCCTACATCCTTTGTGTGTCCTGGTAGGGTGCTTGTAAGGTTTTAAGTGGCAGAGTACCATCATTAGATTTTCATTCACTCTGGTGGCATAGCTTAGACTAGGACTTTCAAATTTTAATATGTTATGAATCACTCCAGAATCCTATTGAAATGTGAATTCCAATTCAGGAGTTCTGGGGTGGGGTATGTGATTCTGCATTTCTAAGAAACTTCCAGGTTAATGCTGGTACTATTAGAGCAAGGATGCCTCTTGCAAAGCAAGGCTGGAGAAGTTAGGTTTGGGATCAAGGAGTGACAGACTGAGATGATGAAGGTTCAGCTAGGAAGAAACAGTGGGAATAGAGCGAAAAGGGCAAATTTGAGAAATCTTTAGAAAGTAAATTTGGCAGGAGATGGTGGTTGATTAGATACGAAGGGTGAGGGTAGGACAGGAATGAAGGATGGTATCCAGGTTTCTGGTTCTTTTATATATATTAATACATACATTAGTATTTGCTCTTGTTGGTATATTGGGAGCATTTTGACAAATGTGTGGAATCTTATAACAACCACCACAATCAAGATCCAGAACAGTTCCGTCATCCCAACAAAACTCCCTTGTGCTGCTCCTTTGTAGTCAAGCCCTCCTTTCCCCCATTTGAATCACTGTTCTCTTGTGTAATGTAACTTTTTTGTCTGCTTTCAAATTTTTCTTATCTTTGGTTCTCAGCAGTTTGATTATGATGTGTCTGGGCATGATTTTCTTTGTGTTTTTCCCGCTTAGGGTTTATCAAGCTTGACATTCATGTCTTTCATCAACTTTAGTAAGTTTTCTGTCACGATTTCTTTGAATATTTTTTTTCTGTACCAACTTTTTCTCCTTTCCAGACCTTGTGATATTATCTCCCAGATCTCTGAGCCTCTATTCATTTTTTGCTTTCAATTTTTTTTTCTGTCAGTTCTTCAGGTTATGTAATTTCTAATGCTGTATCTTCAGGTTCACTTACTCTTTCCTTGGTCAGCTCCATTCTTGTTTTTGACCCCATCTGGTGAATTTTTTATTTCAAAGATTATAATTTTTTCTTTTAAAATTTCCATTTGTTTCTCTTTTATAGTTTTTATTCCGCTGAGAACTTTAATCTTTTTTCCATCCATTTGATGAGTGCTCACCTTTATCTCATGGAAAACGGTTATAATAACTGCTTTAAAGTCTTGTCTTTTAATACCAACATCTGTGTCATCGGGTGGGGGTTCTTCACATGTTGAGTAATTCTGGATTGTATCCTGGACATTTTGAATATTATGTTTTGGATTCTTGTTCCTGTTAAAATTCTCTAGAGATTTTTCTTTGGTTTGACGGGCAGTCAACCTGATTAGGTTCAGACTGCACATTCTGTTTTGCCTTTGTGTGTGGTGGCTACATCAGTCTTTACTGTTATTTGAGCGTGCCTGACACTTGTACCGCTGGAGATTAATCTGGGACTTAGACGTTAATTAATATCATAGTTCAGTTCTCTAAGCCTTTGTGATGCTTCCTTGGGTCTGCTCCACGTGTGGACAGCTCAGGGTTGTGCCTGAGACTTACATTTGATCATATATGAAACTAGGTGATTCTGCTTTCCCAGTCTCTCTTCTCCAGGATTCTCATGTCCCCTTCCCTCTCCATACCCACTTGCTGGTTCATATGACAAGAAAGACAGGTTTCTTGCAGAGTTTTAACCTTCCCACTATAGAAGGGTTCCCTGAATTAAGAAAAGAGAAGAAAAGGGGGATTCTTTCCATACTTTGCAGACAACACAGACTCTTTTTCCCAGTTCCTCTGGTAGAAAGATGTTTTCTTTTCAGTTTTAAGTGCCCTAGTTGCCATGGTTGGTGGCTGTCCTGCCCTGGGGCCGGGGCCGGGGCCAGCCTTAGGGCAGTGCTAGGAGACAAGGAAAAAATAAATGAAAGAGAACCCAGGGATTTCTCCCACACCTTCTCATGTACAACGGCCCCTTTCCTTAGTTTTCTGGATAGAAATAAGGGATTTCTTGGTTTTTTTTTGCTGTCTGTGTCCATTGGATATTTCCAGGATTAGGCCTTCAATCAAAGCTGGAAGGCAAAAAAGGACCAGAAAATGCTGAAACTCTCCTGTAAACACATTGTTATTCAGATTTCAACTTTAGCCCCCAATCTGCTTTATTATTTACTTTCTCAGGTAGCTTTTAAAAAATATTCTTACAGAGTATGGAAGAAATGGCTATAGGAATAGAGAAATAGGCTATAGGTGGCTCATTCTGTCTTGGCTAGCCAATCGTTTTTTCCCTCTAATTTATTTTTAAATGCTTCTCTGCAGTGCCACGGAAACTTTCTTTCAGACCTCATAGTTCAAGGTTAGAAATTAGTGTTCTTTTTAATCGTGTGGTGATATAGTCGAAGTCTAAGCAGAGCTGGAGCTGAATGTCAGTGTTTTGGTTTTTCTTTTCTTTGCTTATTGTATGCAGTTCATTTTGGCTGTTTTTCA